ATGGTATAGATTATTTCAATGTACAATAAGATTTTCTTTCCTTGTTATATGTCAAGAAACACGCTGCTTCTTTTCTAGATCGTCGAAACCACCACGGTTTGTAAAAATACAGATGTAATTTTCTTTAAGTCGGTTTGAAATGAAAAAGATCATAGACTCCACAATGCCGATATAATCAGAAACATCTCGATTAAATTCTTTTTATATAAAAAATATTTACGATGTATTGTCGTTCTGTTTTAATTAGTTACTATTTGCAAGAACTAATTATGCTATTATCTCTAAATTAGATTGTTAGTAACTTAAGATATATTTAAAAATGTTATATTTCTTTTTTTGTTATATAATTGAATTAACAAGATTTCTATTAAAGCAATAGTATCTCAAACATTGTGGTATGATAAGTTGGGTAAAGCAGAATACCATGTTATAGTATGATTGTTCAACACGTCATCAGTTGATGCATAATCAAAGTCAACTATAACAATATATTAATTATTTTCAAACAACATGAAGTACCATTAGAACATGTCACGCCATTGACTAAAGGATATAAGCAAGTAATTGCACTTTTCAGACTAAGTTAATAGAAATAGTTTTCTCTTTAATTTTAGTTTAGATACACGTCATTGCATCATTCGATGTGAATGAATAGAAAAGTTGTACTGAAGCATCAAACGATTTCTGTATCAATTTCTGAGAAGGAATAATCTACTTATCCTTAATTTATTGTCTGAATGAATAAATGAACGTGAAACAACACGGGATAAGAAAAAAGAAGATGAAAAAGAAAAAGAAAAAATGAACGATAGAAAGGGACATCGTGATATAAAGTGAACAGATGAACATTTGTTATCCTTCACTGGTGACTTTGATCAGGCATGTGAAAAAAGATGAATACTGACGCTGATGAATACTCTTACAATATCAAAAGCATGAATATCTAGTGTTATTTCAATTGAGTGTTTTCCCAAGAAACCAATCATGAAAAGGGGATGATCAATCATAAATAAACGAAAGAAATTAATTTTGTAAAATATTGATTACTACAAATTAGTTCTATTTTTTTTGCATTGTTACTACTTATTAAGACACGAATCCTATAGTTTTTCTCTCAAAATTACAAAATTGATTAAAAGTTCACATTTTCTTTCTTCGAATCAAGTCAATAAATCGCTTGAGTTTTTGTTGAATCTAAAGTGAATAAACGATGCATATCATCACATGAAAATACAGACCTTTATTACTCATGACAATAATCTTAAGCTCTTTATATTCAATGATATTTAGTTAGATTTTATCAAAAATAAATGGCATTAGAAAATAGATATTCTAACCAATTTAAGATGCAATACTTACTTTCGTTGCAAATCTATGAGACATTTAGTCATTCTGAATTACTCAAATGTTCGTCTGCTGAGAGAATTAATTTTTTTTCTTTTATCAACTAGATATCATATCTATTGATTGACCACAGAAAATGCTAAGTATGGTATAAGATTGGCTATAGTTTTTAATAAATGCGGAAACTTCGGATTTAAATCCAAGAGTTATGTGTACTTCAAAAAGTCAATCATACAAATCAATTATCCTAGACTGTTCAAATATCAAAATTATATTGTGAAATCTACGATTTAAAATGTTGATTTCTATTGCGTATTGCCAAATTAATAGGACTTGAGACCGAATTAAGCTCAAAATTAAACTCTGCACCTTGATTTACCCTAACAAAGTCGTTTTTCCTATAACTTCATTTCTATTGGTCACTGCTTAACCAATAGGATTTTGATGGAAATTGAGTACAGATTCGAGTTCTCCATCTCTGAAAACCTCGAGGTATCATCAGTGTGATCGGAAGATAAAGCTCGATTTGTGGATCAATTAGATCGTGGACCAAAATATAACCTAGTCATCTTTAATTATCCTTGTCATAGGTAAGTCATCTTTCTTGTTTCTTTATGTTTTATATATCATTTTGTAGCTCTTGAAATTCTCTATCGAATGGTATATAATAGTTGGGCTTTTAATTGACTATGATGGGAAAAGTCTTTTACGAAAGTCGCGATGGGTCGATTTTTCCATAGAAAGCTATATGAAAAAATGGGTATTTTTGCAATAACTCAGGAGTGGCTTGACCGGTCCTTCTCATCTTCGAAGTCGATCGAGATATTGTCAAGGCTAAGCTTTGTAGAAAGTTTCATCGCAATCTGACTCTGCTGTCAAAAGTTATCATGTAAAGAGCCAAGCGGACGTTTGAGCACAGTGACTATTCTATAGTGTAACCACTTTTTGAGTACAAAAAACTATAATTTGGTTCAAAACTAATATCAGATTCAGAATCAGCGTTAAAAACTGAGTCGATTTATGTATTTTGTGAAAAAATATGAGCAAAAAATTTTTTTTCGAAAAATCCCCGTACCCCCCCCCCCCTCAGGGATGGTCTGGTCAAAAATCACAATTTTTTCGATAACTCAGCCATTTCTTGACGGATCCTTCTCATCTTCGAAATCGACCGAGAAATTGCAAAGACTGAATTGTATAGAAAATTTCATCGTGATCGGACCTTCCTTTTCAAAGTTATCGTGAAACAGCCGGCCGGACGGACATACTGACCGATTCTAGAGTGTACTCACTTTTTGAGTACACAAAAAGATTTTTTTCCTAAAAAACCAATTCTGCTTTCTCTTATATTCTGATCTAGAAACATAATTCACGACAGATTTTTCGTTCGCTACTCATTTTTCAATGAAGAAGAGTAAATTTCTGATTTCTGCTCTTCTGGAAAATTTTGAACGATAGGTTCAGAAATAATACGAAAGACCTCCCTTCGTTGCCCAAAAAAAGTCAGTTTTCGTCAAAAATTTCCAAATTGAAATAAACGAATGGGAACATAGCCCGTCATCTGCTCTTTCATAAACGATAATTTGTTTTTCTCGTTACTTCATTTTTCCCAAAAAAATTTTCCAGATTTTCGTCAATCCCTAGTCGAAAAACCAGCTGTTTTTTTCAAAAATCAAAAAATGTCTTTCATTTTTTCTCGATTTATGATTTTTTGATTTCGGGACAACGAATTCTCAGTCCCGGCTCGGGCAATTTATTTAAATTATTTTTGTGCTTTCAAAGAGTACGTCAAGAATTATTTTTGTGTGTATATTCTAAACGATAACAAAATCACTTATATATTCCATATCTGAATTAAATCAAAGTATTGTCTCTTCGCTATGATCGTTTTTGACAGATATCAACGAAACATTTTATAACAAATAAATTTGCCATACAAAGTATTGATTAAATTTATTAAAGTCTACAATAATCAACAGTATCTTTTTTTTGATATTTTTTTCTGTGCTGATATAAATTCAAATCCACACTGAAAATTTATCATAAATGGCATATTATCTATTTTTGATGAATTTCCATTTTCATTGTGCTAGAATTTGATATAAAATATCTTGCTCATGTTTTTTTTCAAAATGACAGCCTTCCTCCGTATATATAAAAAAAAATATTCTTAGCCGTCTTGCACAGTTAAAAAGCAAAATACAATCAATATTTTTCATCTGTCATACTAATGAGAACGATAATTATTTTTTTTTCTCTAACAAGCAAACATTGATCAGATATACACACCTTACGAAAAATATTTTTCGTTTTATATAACTTTGTCCGTATATAAGGAGTGTGTTTTGTAGAGAAAAAAAAATCAGCATTTCACATAATTTAAAATACGTGACTATGTCAGGTAAAACATCGTGGCCTGAACTGGTTGGTCAACCAGGCGAAGAAGCTGTTGAAATAATTCAAACAGAAGCTCCAAGTAAGAAAAAAAAAACGCTACACTTTTGTTCGAATTGTGAAATTTGAAAATGTACATATTTTATAGATATGAATGTGAAAATATACAAACCAAATGACCCTGTGACATACAATATTGACCCAACTCGTGTATGTGTTCATGTGGATGAAGATGGCATAGTTAAGTTACCACCAACCACTGGTTAAATCAAAATCTTTTCTTTTACTTACAAAAATAAATAACTATTCAAATCGATTATTTAATTGGTTATATGAGAAAGACATTCCTTATCTCTTATCTACTAACTATCACATAACACATAATATTTTTTATTTTTTTCATTTTAATTTTTCAATTTATCATTATTAATAAATTTAACATAAACACAATGATTTCGAGAAACAGAAGTCCCTGACATATATATATATGAAAGTACAATTTGTGATTGTCTAAAGACATAGATAATATGAATATGCATAATCAAGTATCTACATGGAAAAAAATATTTCGTTGTGAAAACTGTGGTTTTGATAACGCTGTCTTTGTCGTTACGGTTGTTAGTACCTACAAATATTAGTGAATCCATTCACTACGGTATAGTTTTGCATTATCATGAATGATATAAGCATGCGATGAGACACTGTAGATGTATAAAATGACTTGTTGGTTAGGTAAAATGTGGTAAGAAGAAAGAAAAAAAAATGAGAAGAAATAAGAATAGAAAAGGAAAAGAAAAAAAATTGAGACAGAACAAGCAGAGAGTGAATAGCCTAGGCAATCACATGACTGATTATCACGAACATAGAAGCTTAAGTCATTGAGGAAGCAAAGATGGGTCTGTTTGTGTGAATGGGGGGTATGGACAGATATGTACTCATACTCGCACTCACACCCATAAATGAACATTACTCTCGTTTTACATCATACTTCATTACAATTCATTTTCTATTGATTGAAGTATACCTTCTTGTTATTTTGTTTCTATGTAATCGAAATGACTCAACGAACGAGTTATCGAATTGTTTTTCATATTGATCGAGCTTCTATCCTATATCACACATAATGATGTTCTGGAATTCTAATATTTAGAAGATTCATATATTATCAAACTCATTGCTTTCGGCTGTGAAATTAGATGTAGATAACTTGTGACGAACGTAAGGGTCTACTCGCACCGACATCCTCACATCTCTATTCATTATACCCGATACATTCATACCCACATCTACAGATTCAAAACCAAGACCGGCTGTTTTGGGTGTGGGTACAATTATAATAATACTTTCAGACATTCACCTCCACATCCTTATAAATTTGTTTAATATGAATATCTAATACATAAACTAAATATTGAATGTAATTCTTCAAACGTAATCTAATTTTTCTTTCAGACAAGGATCAATGAATCCGTAGCATGAGCACTACCGTCTATATATATGTATTTGTATAAGAAACTTTGTTTTGATTTAGAATTTCCACATGTATCATTATGTCAGTATTCTTGTCTGGAGATGAAGGTTTGAGGATAATTTTGGCATAATTTTAATACTCTTCCTAATTTATCTATAAATTTTATTTATCAATTGTGACGTTTCGTCTCTCGAAGAAGACTTTGTCAAACATTAAATGAAACAGAAAAAACAAAACATTGATGAAAACAGAACAGACTGAATTTAGTCTAATTAGATAGTGATACGGAAAAACAAGACGGTAATAATGGTGACTATATAGGTTATAACCTTTTCCGTATCACTATCTAATTAGGCTAAATTCAGTCTGTTCTGTTTTCATCAATGCTTTGTTTTTTCTGTTTCATTTAATGTTTGACAAAGTCTTCTTCGAGAGACGAAACGTCACAATTGATAAATAAAATTTATAGATAAATTAGGAAGAGTATTAAAATTATGCCAAAATTATCTCAAACCTTCCTCTCCAGACAAGAATTCAAAAACCTCTACCAAGAGAGAATTTACGTCATCACTTACAACTTAGAGAAATTATACAAAAGAAAAACAAAACTAACAGAACATATACAATTTCTTAAACAATGCAAGAAACTCAATTTAATACCAAATGGTTTAACACTAAAAGATACCACAAAAATTAACAAAAATCAAAAGTTATTAAAGCAAACTATGTACAAAATTAGAAATAATACTTTACAAAATCAACAAATCAATTACATTACGTTAACACCAAAATCAAGATTCAAACTTCTATTTTGAATTGTTACTTACGAACAACTCAACCAACAAGAAATCATGAAAATGACTTAAAATGGATTAACAAATATGATGGAAAATTTAAAGATGAATTAATCAAAACGCATACTATTAAAATAACAAAGCTTAAACAAAAACAAGAAAGAAATAAATTAAAACAACCTACACCAATAACGAAATCTCAAGTTAAATATGATACCACTAATGTAGTTAACATGTCAAAAATTCAATTAAGCTCACAACACATTCAAGTTTTATCAAAAGAATTAAAATTCGTCCCAACACCTACTTCAATTAATACAGTTAACACCATTGTAAACTGTGAAAAGTCATTATTCTCAGTACCAACAATTATTAAGAATGCAGCAATATCCGAAATCTCCACATTTATACAAACATGGAAAAAACCAAAACAGTATAACATGAATAAAGATGAAATTAAATTACTTAATGAAATAAGAGCAATTGAAGACATCCAACAATTTGTAAATAATTATTAAATTTCATGACTCTCATCCATCTAGAGCAGTTTTCATCATTAATGCATTTATTCAAACTGAAATATTGACGTACAAAAGTTTCGTTTCAGTGGGTCTCGAATCTGATCAAGTTTTTGAACGAGATACCAAAAAAAAATAAAATAAAAACTATAGAGTTCGGTAGAGGAAGTGATATTGTACCGAATTATATCGAAATATAAAATATTCGAGGTTTTGTATAAATACAGCAAAGTGAAGAAAGTTATCAAAATTAACGCAGTTAGTTGTATATATTCATCAATATTTGTAACATTATGTTTATTGACGATTTATTTTCTCATCAATCTATTTGTTCTTTTTCTCACAATTAGAAATTTGGAAAATACAGAAAATGACTACAACATATTAGTCTTGCACTTTAGGTGACCACTGTGATAAAATTCAATAGGAATGAAACAGTTTTATCAAAATTAATTAGCAATACTAAACAAAATTAAACAACAACTTGTTATTCCCTTTGCACTTACATAAAAGCAATAGTAAACAACTAATGTTTTCAATATGGTTTTGTAAACAACATTATAAAAAGTAAGCCAAAGTATGTTATCACTCTAAGAATATGCTATACTTATCAGCTAGCTAAAGTACAATATTTCAACAAAATTGATTGAAATATTTAAATAATACACTATGTGGCATTTCTGCACATATTTATTTTTTATTTTGCTTTTTATAAATTTATATAGTTCACTTTATTTCTAGCTCGATTTATAGACATACATAAACCATTTGCAAGGCCTTGAAGAAATTCAGCAAATAACTTTAAAACTTATTGGACAGGTTCAAGAACATCTTGTATAACTTGAGTAAGAACATTAGGACGATTACTTCACACCCACACACCCACACCCTTATTATATAATCAATTTATTGATCTTGGTAATATTCTTATTTAATAATCTTGAAAATGTTATTCAAAACACAAATAAGTAGTTAATATGAATGGTAACACGAATATTGCTCTCTTAACAATTTCTCCCAGAATACTGACTCTCCAATGGGGCAACTGCTTCGTAGAGACACTTGCTTTTCTATGGTACCTAACAAAACTTTTATTGATTAGAAGAACAACATATAAATGAGTGTTTGTGTGGATGTGAATGTGAGTGAATATGGGTATGAATTTAGAGAAGAGCCATGCACGTAGTTGTTTATACTTCTATTTGTTTATACGATGATGAAAATGGGAGACTAATAATAAGTTTCAAATCGATTCGTAAATTTCCCATTGCTTTTTGAATCTTGTACTAACCTACAACTATTTTAGCTACTTCTTAGCTTATAGTAGCCTTTGGCTCATGAAAAATTATTTTGAACTTTTTTATTGGAGCATACATCGATACAATGCAACTATTGGAGGAGTATCTGTCAGGGGAGCATAATTATGGAACCAATATTAACAATACATTTCAAATAATTATCAGTTTCACTAACAATAATTTTATTAGACTACTTCCTACATAAATTCATGCACTAAATATTCTTCTTGCATATGTTTTCAACTGTCTTCTCTATCTTCAAAATAGAAGATAAGTGTTTTAATAATCTGTATTCTAGGACCAATATTTGCATTATTGAAACAATTGCGAATCGTACTTCCAAATCTTTTGGTTTCAGCTCTTTCAACAATAACTAGTGCACTTAGTCAACTAGATGGATATACACTTTGTAGTAATGGCAATGCCCATGATGTTCGTGGTTGCGGATGTGAACATTCAACTAAAAAACTTATAGGAAATCACAAGTATTAAATAATTGTTTCATGTGTCAATCGCTCATAAAATGAACAGCTCAGTTTTTTTAATTTTTCACTGTTAGACTACTTTGTTTCATTTTCATTTGAGCATTTTTCGAATAAACTAGCTAGTTTATCAAAGCATGCCACAAATAATTTATTAGACTATGGACAGAGAAACTTTGATGAACATTCAGTGAGATGATGTCTACTACGTAAATAAACTGTACATCCGTAAGTTTTACCAGGATTTTATAATCTATGTACAAGGAAAATATACGACAAGATTCCTTTAATACATTTCTCTGAGTTTTTATCTATCTGCTTTCCTGAGAATCATTGTTTAATAGTTAAACTATTGATGGTGTTTTTAAAAGTTATTTTACATCTAATCAAAATATCTTTTAATCTGAAACATACGTCTATGTTGTTTCATGAATGCTTTTATTTCAGACAAGTATGTCTATTATTAAAGTAATTGTCATTTAGTATTTCTTTTTTAATCATTTTTGATGTTTCATATCGATTAATACTTTCGATTCACGATCATTCACTTTGAAAATTTGATTCTTTTTTATTGTATCCATGAATACATTTCATTTTCCATGTTGTTTAGTAAATGCATCAAGTCTTCGTATATGTTCCTCACTTGTTCTTGGTTTAATAGAAGCTAATGCACGTTCAAAATGATGCCATTCAATATGAGGAGCATCAATATTATCACGTAAGGCAATTAAAGCTGCTTCATCACAAACAGCAGTAATTTCTGCACCTGAATAATTTTTTGTTAATTCAACTAAACGTTCTATTTGAATATCTGAATGTATAGGTGAGCGACGAAATCGAATTTGAAAAATTTCCAAACGTGTTTGTTCATCTGGTAATGGGACATAAACAAGACGATCAAAACGCCCAGGTCGCATCAATGCCTGAAGAAATTCAAATGATATATGAAATGAAATTTCTTTGTTTTTTTGTTCTTATTTTCCTATTTTAATCATTTCTACATACTGGATCAATACAATCAGGTCGATTTGTAGCTGCTATAATTGTTACACCTTTTAATTTTTCAATACCATCCATTTCAATAAGAAGTGTAGCAATAACACGATCACTGACATTCGACTGACTTTAATACAACAAACAAACAAAAATCTTTATAATAGTACTTTTATATAATAAATAGAAAACTCACGAATTTGATGAATTTGCTCGTGAATTAGCAATAGCATCGATTTCATCGAAAAATATAATTGCTGGTGCAGCAAGACGTGCACGACGAAATAATTCTCGTACAGCTCGTTCTGATTCACCAACCCATTTACTAAATAATTCTGGTCCCTAGTTAAATTTTAATTAAATTAAAAAAAATAAAAATTAATAATAAACAAACTTTAACAGCAATAAAATTAAGATCTGATTCAGTAGCAATAGCTTTTGCAATCATTGTTTTTGAACAACCGGGTGGACCAAACATTAAGATGCCTTTTGGTACTTGAACATTAAGTCGATCAAGTGCATGAGCATATTTTAATGGCCAAACAACCATTTCTTCAAGACGTTTTTTTAATTCATGTTGACCACCAATATCTGACCATTTTACTTTTGGTACTTCAAGTATAACTTCACGCATACTACTTGGTCGAATGACAGTTAAAGCATTTTCAAAATGTTCCATATTTAAATTTATGTTTGATTGCTTAGTTTTTCTTGCATAATGATTTGCTAATTGAATCAGAAAAAAAATTATAACTATACATTTTACATCAATTTTCTGAACTATTATGATAGTGGCAACCATAAGTTTAAAGTAGCTGTATTTTTTCTCAATCTTAATAACTAGGAAGGTAATGGAAAAAATTTAAGTAACTGAAAGAATACTCTATCAGGCTTGGTGAACTTAAAAAGTCCCATGAACCTCCTTGGAAGAAGATGTTTGGAAGACTAACGTATTCAAATATCAGTTTTCTGGCATCCATTTAGAGTGTTTTTCAGAAATGATTTTATTTGATACAGAAAATAATTCTGACCGAAATGAAATATTTAAGTATTCTCCAAAACCTTTCTTGATCGAGCTGCACTCAATCATTGGAAGACCTCAAAGCATCGAACATGTAAAGATCATTGAAGTATTTATTTTGTAAAAATTTCAAATTTTCTGATGAGCAGTTCTCTCGAAACACCCGAAAGATTGGGGGGGGGGGGGACCCTTAATGTTTCCACATGTAAATCTAAGTGACAAGACTAGGAAAATAATTCGACTGTGAAATATTTCATTTTACCTTTTCTACATAAATTTTCTAAATCAGATCCACTGAAACCATGTGTTCGTTCCGCAATGCATTTCAATTGTTCTTCATTGAGCTCATTTGATATTGTTTGTAATTTTATTTTTAAAATCTTTGGAAAAAAAAGTATTATTAAAATTAGTCATAATAAATTGAAGCAAAAGAGTGTTGAAAGTTTTTTTTTTCTCTTTACTTCAAGTCGATCTTGTTGATTAGGTATTCCAATTTCAATTTCTTCATCAATTCGACCTGGCCGTCTTAAATCCGTATCAACTGAATCAAGTCGATTTGTTGTTGCTATTAAAAAAATATTTTTTCCATCTAAATATCGATCTAATAATTCAATAAATGTTGTTGTTAATCGTCGTTCTAATTGTTGTGTTATACGTTCTTGATTAGGACAAAGACTTTCAATATGTTCAACAATAAGTAAATATTTTTTCTTAGAATTATTATTCTTTGTCAAAGTTGTTTGAGCAAAAAGATGTTTAAGTTTTGTTTCACTTTCACCATAATGTCGACTATATATATCTGATGGATTTATACGAACTATTGTTGCTGAAAGTTCATAAGCTATGGCATTGATAAGCATTGTTTTACCACATCCTTTAGGACCATGAAGAAGTATTCCTCGTGGTGAAATATAATTTGTTGTAGATGAAAGAAGAAGATCAATTAAATCAGATTTTTCTTTTTTTAAACCACCAATATCTGATAATGAAATGGATTTAACTTGAATATCATTGTTATTATGCTCAGTCGTCGATTCAAATTCAATATTAATTGAAGTTGTCAGTGGACAAATTCGATAAAACTTTGGAAGATTACTATCAAGTGAAAGAGAATGAAGTGAATCGATTAGATTTGTATCATCGATTGCTTTTTCAATACGAAATACAATTGATTGACCAAGATAAACAAAATCGATATGTTGTTCTTCAAACACAATTCGATTTGCTAGAAGAAAAATATCATATGAAAAAAATATATTAACATTCGTAAGAAACAAAAAAAGAAGTAATATACCTAATTGATGCTTTAGACATATTGTGATTAAACGACGTTCATTTGTACTACGAGATTCACATGGTGTAATTGCTCTAATGTATGAAAAAATATTATTTTAATTGACTCGAGAAAATAATTAGTAGTTGATTTTGTATATGCATGATGTTCCAAAAGTCAGCCATGAAATGTTTATGATTTCATAGAATATTTTTAGAAGTTTTATTTCATATGATTTCACCCAAGACTAGTGTTTTAAATGATTAGCAACTACTGTAAGGCATGAAATAATGTGTTTCGAAACATATGTAAAAAAACACTAATGTATAAAGCTTGTTCTGAGATCAATGTGATCTATATGAAAGCTCTTATTGATACATAAATGAGAATCGATGACGAGACCACAATGATCTTGGAACAAGCTTTATACATTGATTTTATATGAATTTTTCGACAGACATGGTTTTATGCCTTAAAATAGATGCCAATCACTTTAAACATTAATTATGAGCATAGTCTTTTGGATTCGAACGTGATTTATTGAACGTTTTCGGTATCCAAATCGTATTGATCAAACTTTGTCGGATCCAGATTCAGTCGAACCATACTTTGACATTCTCAATGAAGCTTTTTCATCAAAATCCGATAGTCACTCTGAAGTTACGAAATACTTTTCTCCCGTTTTTTTTGTCTTTGGTAACTAGTGCACAATACATATTTCACCGACAACGAAAGTACAAAGGGTCCTAAATTTCTGAATACGGACTCGTGCTTCAGGCAATAATTCCGCATGGTCTAAGTGATGGAGATGTCATACGAAAAAAACAACTCTCAAGGATATCCTATGCAATGATGAAAATCTCATACGGCTTGCTTGAATTGTTGAAAAAGGTATTACAGTTTTATTTCACGACTGACTATTTGGACACTCTGTATATAAATACTAGTTTATATTAATTCATCTAATCAAGTTTAAATTATGTAATGATTAGCTTATTTGCTATGATAGGATTTAACAGAATTTCAAAATCAGAAAATTCACAAATCACTAAAAAGTAATATTGATTTGACTACATTTTCGTTCAGTATTTCTTTAAGAACGAAGTCTTGATAATATGAGATATATATATATATCGAAAAGAAAAATTCAATTTTCAATCAGGGAAAATTTTTATGGTAATTCATGTTGTTAATCAATTAAATGAACAACGGTTACATGAAACAACATATCAACATTTCAGTTTATTCATCTTAATATGAATATTCATATTTCGATTATGTATATGAAATAATTCTTGGCGATTTTTTTGAAGATGATTTACAAGTACTAAGAAGCTTCTTATAAAATCTACTAGTAAATAATGTAGAAAACTTGTTTTGCAAAGGAAAATTGAGGAACATAAATGTACTAGTAGAAGCAACTTCATCAAACTCATTGTACCTTAATGTAATATTATCCATATCTAGAACATGATCTTTTGGAATTGCTCGAAGTTCGATTATTTGTTGTTCAAATAAATGATCGATCACAGTGCGACTAATAGCTACTTGATTATCAGCTAGAAGTGAATTTGGCCAAAGTAAACCTATTCTCAATGATCGTTGTTGATCTTTTGTTACTGATATAAGAAGAATGTGATCATTGCGATGAATATCTCCAAGAAGACGCATAGTTTCTGGCGATATAAATACAATATCTGTATGCATAAACGAAGGAAATGTT